CCAGAAACTCCAGGGAAAATAAACACCACCGAGAAAATCCCACTTTCCATGGGCTGAATCCCACCAGCCACTGTGAGAATCGGGAATAACTCTTGGGCTGTCAGCAATGCTAAACTGTTGCAATCAGTCCTACAGGGACAATGAAGTGAATAACAGCAAAATCACAACCCAACCACAAAGTATGCCTAATGGCAAGCCCCAATCAACGTTCATTATCCCCCTGCTCCCACCTCCACTCCCACACAGGCAGCACGGCTATTTTCCCCCAGATCCCACTGTTAATCTTCCCAGGGCTGAGCTACCCAGCAGGCAATGCCATCAGAAGGAAAAAGATCCTTTTCCTTCCACATGAGAGCCTTCCAAATGGCATTCCTGCCAATCCTTGCTTGCAGGCACTGCACAGCCCTCGAGGCCACGTATCTCCTGAGCCTCTCTAGCACCCAGGGCACCAAAATCTCAAATCCCTGCTCAAAGCTGAGTCTCCGGCAGCATCAATACTGTAGTTTTTTCCCCTGAGGGAGCATGCCTTGCATTTCCACTAAAGGCACCATATCTTGCTATGTAACACACGTATATCTTGTTAACTAAAGGGCAGCAATATGCGCTCTATTGTACCGTGACTGATTTCTACAACTGAAGATGCAGCAGAATCAAATTGCAGCAACTGTTTATATCAAAGCAGAGCTGCTACTGACTGTTGATCAACTAAACACTGAAGGGCTGGCCAGGTTTTCCCTAAGACAACCCAGCCTTCCCCATATAACCCATAATATCCCCACCGCTGGCAGGAGCAGTGTGGCTACCGCTAGAGGGATGCGAGCAGAGCTCGAGCAGCCGCACCTTGGGCAGCATCTGCTGGGGGCCAGGGGTGATGGAAAAGCCGGGATAACCACTGCAGGGTCACTGTGGGACTGCAGGCAGCCCGGCGTGGGGGATTCCCTGCACATAGCAGCTTGCAGTCTGGCTGAAAAGGCAGACAACAGAAACAGAAAAACGAGAGTTAATGGTTTGCCAGAGTTCGGGCAGGAAAACCCACAACAGAGCTTGAAATGAATCCAAATCCACTCCAAGAGCAAAAGGGATACGGATGTAAAGTGCAGGGCAAAGCCAATGCAACATGCTTGGCTCAAAGGGGGATGCTCGCTCGGAGCTCAGAGCAGCTCAGCACATCAGCTCATTGCATGCACTATTTCCTAAGGGAAAGCGACCTGAGTAGGGACATGATGTGGGGCACAGGGATGGCGGAGCCCATCACAGGCTGCAGGAGTCCCCTGTGCATCCTCCAGCATTTCGTCTCACCACAAGTGTTTGCTTTCATTAAAGCTTTAACCTCAGCCCGAACCTCTTGGTGGGTAAAAGGGCAGCGTGGTGCTGGCTGATGCCAGCTCTGCAGGTGCAGGAGGAATGGGCAGTGCTACCAAGGGCCACTTGGATCCACTACGGTCCAGCTGAGACTCTCAGGCTGCTGAAGAACAAGGGACTGCTCTGCCCAGGGAAATATAAAATGACAAAAGAGTTCTCCCAGCTTGCTCCCTTCCAGCACAGAGTTAGGAAATCTCAGCCATGCAGAGCACCTACTGCTTGCAATTCACATAGTAACGAGTTTATGGGCTTCTGCAGCTCAAAGCCTGCGATGAGCTTGTGCCCAAGGCAGAGCCACGGTGTGGCCTAAAGCCATCCCTAAAGCTGGTGGTGCAGAGGCTGCATCCCTGCTGATGGGGATATCATCACCTTCATCCTCTGCTGAGTGCCCTCAGGGCGAGGTAAGGAGCCAACAGTCAGGTGCACACTGCTGAGCCTTGATCCAACAGCACTGAAGCAAACAGACACAAATCCACATATTTTCTGTTTGGACCACATCCCGAGGACAGGCTAAGACTTTCTTTCTGGTTTCTGCTAACTTCCTTCTGAAAGGTCTCTTAGAAAAAGGCAATTATCACAGTGCCATTAAGGCTTTCCTCTTTGCATGGCCGGATAACTCGCCCGGAGTCTCTCGAAATAACCTTTAAACAATAGATCCTGTCTTGTTTACTGAATGTTTCCAAACTCAACAGTAATGCATCCAGATGTCACCCGTGTCTACTGTGGACCTGACTATTTCTGGAAACGCACCAAGGGCAGATTGCAAGGATAATGTCACAGGGAGAATATGACAAGTCTCCATCTCTGTGATAAAAGCACAGTGGTGTGCCCCAGGGTGGTGGGACGCAGCCCTGCTCCTTTCCTGAGCAGTGCTGGGCAGGTGCTGTCAGCTCGTGCTCAAATGGGGACAGTGTGTGTGTGTTCCTGCCCAGCACAGCTTGGTGAGCTCATAGACTGCCTGGATTAGTGTTTGTCACTGTGAATGGCTTCAGTGTTGGGGAAAAGGAATGCGGAGAGAAGCACTGGGGACAGCTGGCGGGGGCTTGGGGAGCAAGCCTTGGCTCAGCCTGTATGAAGATGAGCACCGGCTCTGCCTCATCGCGGGTGCGATCCCTATCTGAAGGGATAGGGAGACCAAAACTCCACACCTGACTCACCTCAAGTCTGCACTGTGCAGCATCAGCACACAGCCAGGGACGGTGTGACATCAGCTGTGCTGGCACTGCCGAGCCCCAAAATTCTCCTCTAACAGAAGAGAAGCTGGGAGCCAGGAGCACTTGGATGCCGAGCAGCCCATCCCCAGCAGTGGCTTTGTCACCACTCCTCAGCCTCAGCCTTCCCACGGATGGATGACTTCTCCAACAAGCATCATCAGCTGAAAACACATCGCCTGTCCTCTGCAGAGCCAGCCCTTGTGACTTCGGCCTGATTCAGCCCCATTCCCCGTCCCCACGCCGTGTCTGACACGGGCACATTGCGACCCGCACCATCCATGGCAGCCAGGTCCTCCCCTGGTGCTCTGAGCTGCCCTAAATGGGTCACGGACCTCGTTAAGCTGTCTGAGGATGATTCAAAATGCTGTCACGACTTTTCATCTTCCTCCAACCTTTGCAGCTGACCTGTGCTCCGGGCTGCTCCTGCAGGGATCGCAGGGCTTGGAGGTTGCTGATGTCTCTTGTTCGGATTGGCCTCAGCTGTGATCCCAATGGGGCTGGAAAGTCTGGGCAGGGTCTGAGTCCATCACCCTACATATTTTTAGTCTCTCTGCCAAGCTGCAATGTTGGAACATGACTTTTTTTTTTTAACAAAAGGTGAACAAATCCTGCCAGCTGCAATAAATCAGATCACGAGGAGAGAAGGAGATAGACAACGACATGGGGAAAAGTGTAAATTAGAACGGGAATGAGCGGCAAGCTCAACCCAACACCTGCCCCCTCTCCTCCACCCCTCCCCTGCTCTTTCTCAGCATTGTCACATCAGGAGCACTGCCAGATACAAATACCTCTCGGCTGGCCATGCCTCTAGCTAAGGAGTGATAAATCAGCATCAGTCACTGTGGGGGGATTTTGCTGAAATTCTTTATCTCTTTGGAGCACCAGCACTGTTTCCTAAGACTCCTTGTCACTGCTCTGCACTGACAGAAACACTGACATGCAGAGGAAGGAGGTTACAGCCTTAATTACAGCTGCACTGTCTTTAAGGTGTTTGAAATCTCTTTTCACCAACTGACAGCCACGGTGCATTTTGCTGCTGATTCCAGATGAGAGGAGAAACAGCCACAAAAGGCTGCCAACAGCATTCCATTACTCACACACCACCACAGCAGGGCCAGCAACTAAAGGCAGCTGTGAGGACAAGCCGTGCACTGAGTTTATGCACAATTTACATAAACTCACTTTCCTTAACTGCATTATAATTTAGCTGCTTACTCAGTGAAGACATCAGATGCAATGACTGAAACCCCAGTCATACCGGCACGGATGCTCCAATGAGGTCACCCAGGAGCACTGTCTGCACTCTAAGCATCGGGATGTCAGCCAGCTTTCCTAAAATGACAGCCACCCATCATGGAAGAGCACGATTTTACCATCGAGGTTTTATGCTGATTTCACTGCTCTTTTTTAGGCTAGAAGACAATCTGTTGAACCTCAGAGTGCCGTCTTCTCTTACCTTTAATTTATTCTGTCAGAAAACTGTCTACCTTAATGAGTATGAGCACACCCCCACTACCTTCCAAGTTTGGTGATCTGTTATGTCAAGTATAAATAATCCTGTCTGAAACCGCTCGATAGGGGGAAATGAAAAGCCATCTTCCCTCGGGGGATTTCTCTCCCCCACAGCCCCCCCATCCTGCAGAACAAACACCGTCCATGTGCTTCCACGAGCTCAGCCCCAGCCAGCTGCTGTATTAACCAGATAGTGCTCAAAGCAGCAGATCATCCTGCTGTCACCTTCCTTGCATTCAACCCTGGATCTCTCTCCATTCCCACTACTATGGGGCTGCTCTGCTGCCTGACCCAGACAACGCAGGGGGTTCCTATGTCCTTTGGAGGCAGGACAGCAGATAGGAAGGACCCTGGTGTTGGCCACATGGCTGCGGGTGAATGCCCTGAGAGGGGCCAGCTTTGTCCCCAAACCACACATGCAATGAGAGCAAGCTGTCCCCAGAGTGGCCAAGGACACGACCTGAGCACTCAGGTGAAGGAAAGCATCCCACCCCAGCCCCGAGATGCTGTCACTTCCTCCTTTGTAGATACAGCTTTAGAACTAAAGATGCTGTAGGAACAGCAGCACCAAGCTTGGAGCATCCCAGTCTTTATCATCCTGGGCTAAAGCATTGGCTGGACCACTCTCTCTAAGGCAGGCTATCAGGGAGCAGAATGCTGTGCAATTCTCCATGTCCATCTCCGCCCTCCAAACCCCCTCCAGCCCCAGCCTGCAGCCGGAGCTCGTCCTCTGCTCTCCCCTTGCAGGCATTCTCCCAGGACTACCCCAGCACTCCAGGATGCATCAGGAAGAGGGGGGGGGAAGAAAAATAAGCAGGGGAAAATCACTGCTGAGAGCCACCCCGGAGCAAAGAATGAGGGCATGGAGAAGGAGTGGAGCGCCGGTGCTCTCCCCTTTTCCTCCCGTCTTACCTTCAAGAGGGGGAATGGTGCCGGATCGCTCAGGTGAGGACCGCGTCTTCTCCTGAAATCTCCAGCTCGGAACGCATCAATGCGGGAATGAAGAAAAAATAAATAAATAAAAAAGGAGAAGAGTAGAAATAAATAAACAAATAAAATTAATAAATTCAAATAATAATAATAATAATAATAACAGTGATTTGCGGGGAGGGGGGGGGGGGTTATAAATAAAGTGAACGATAAACAAGACGGAAGGCCGATGCCAGCTCAGGGAACCGAGCGGGAGAGCCGGCAGCGGGGATCCTCTCGGCACATGGCCGGTGCCGGCAGCAGCCGCGGCGGTGCGGGGGAGCCGCTCCCTCCCCGCCCCGCGCCCCGGCGCCAACGGGGCCGCCAATGAGGGCGGTGCGGAGCAGCGCGGCCCCCCCCTCCTCCTTCCCCGCTTCCCCCCCTTCTTTCCCAAAGCCCCGCACCGGGGCTGCACGGGTGGAGGCGCGTGAACGCGGTGCCCCCTTCTTTCACCGCACGCCGCCGCCGCCTCCGGGTCCTCCTCTACCTTCTCCTCCTCACCTCGCTGCGGGGGGAGGGGGGTTGGATACAGAGGGGTGGAAGCCCTCGGTGCATAGAGACGGGAACCCCCCTGCAGAGCTTGATGTCTCCGCACAGAGCGCGGCGGTCCCGCACGGATCCTCCATCCCAGTGCTGGCACATCCTAACCCCTCTATACCCAGCAAGGGAAAAGCATCAGGATCAATCCCTCTGCCCCCCCGTGCTCCCCACTTAGCCCCACAACCATCCCGTGGCTTCTCACACGTTACACGGCTTTATCCCACGCGCCATTCACCAGGAGTTAACGCTGAGGTTTTGGTAAGAGCTGCTCCCTCCCGTTTCCCTTCCCAGCACCACCCCAGCGACTCGGGGAGCCCCATCCTCAGACCCCCTCCCCTCCCTCCGGCGCTGCAGCTCTGAGCACACTGCTCTCTGCACGAGCAGAGGTGGCACAGAATTACATCCTCATCCGAGTGGCCATCAAAGAGTGGAGAGGGAAAAGGTTCTTGTGTCCCAAAGCCGAAAACAAAAGCATTTGGTAACAGAGAAAAGCTGTTGCTTGGAGCCAGTCCTCAGGCAGGTGGGCTCCCCTGGGGGCTGTTGTCGCTGCTGTCCCTAACACTGAACTTCGTGTTTCCTTTTGGCCCTCTGCTACTTGTCCTGTCCTCCTCAACTGATGGAACAATCCATTTCTGGTCCTCTCACAGCACACCTGCTCTTTTTAAGATACTGTCTCTTATAGCACTCTTTTAATCTATAGAGAGGGAAACAGTTGTGTTTAATTAATTGCTCCCTAAATTAGCTAATTACCGCCAGTAATTTCAGCACACTTCGCATGCAGTTCAAACTCCTGAGCAGGGATCTGAGCACAAGTCTGACGGTGAGAAATGAAAGCAAGGGGACAACAAATAGTTCAGCTTTAGAAGGTCCACTTCAGACCATCACTGTTTAATTATCACAGACCTCATTGGTTAGCATTGAGCAGTCCATACCATGGTTCCTTTTCAGCTCTGCTTCAAGGTTGCTTGGACTTTGTGCAGTATATATTGGAAAGCTATGCCAAGAAAACACAATTTTAGCTTTTTATTACTTTTATGGGTCAAACGTCATTGTCTAGCAATTTATCACTGCATCTTTGTTTGGAAACGTGAAAGATAGAGGCTCGTTTTTGGGCCATTCATTTCAGTTTCTGTGCTCGTATCCCAGCATGGAAATAAACAGCCTCCTTTCTTCCCAAGTGCTTTTATAATGAATATGTCAAAGCGATTCTTCACTGTTCTGAACCCAGGACAGCAGCAAGGAAAAGCAATGTTACAGCAAGGACTTAGCGAATACTTGAGCTGCCTTCAGCAAGTATAGATCTTATTTGGTGGAACTCGAACACCAGATCCGTTTCTCTAAAAGCAGCCCTGCAAAGATCAGCTATCGAACCTGCAAAGGAGAGAAAGGTTTTCATCACGTATTTCTGTAGCCTGTTGTGAGCACAGCCTCACCGTGCCAGGGGCTGAACGAGAACAGGATGCAAAGAGCTGGAATCCCGCAGACTTTGCAACAGACATTTTTGCAGAAGGGAAGTGCTAACGAGGAGCTGCAGCATGAGAGCCAGTCGCAAGCCTCAAGAGCTGGCCACAGGCCAGTGACAACTTGCATTGGCTCTCCTTGCCGTTTGGAAGGGGTCCTGTGCCTGCCAAGGCTGTGGGATAAACAGAGCAGCAGCAGCCAGGAGCCAAACCGTTTGTAGGCTTTAAGTAAGGTGCACACGTTGTAAGCAGCTGCTTCCCCCCAATGCCTCCATTGGTGTATGCACAGCGTAAGTGCCCTCCTGCATCCACACTGCATCCTCATACCTGCCTCAGGGTTTGGGATCAAACTGCCCAGGAATATCACATGATCTGCATCATTCAGCATCTGAACCAGGCATTCTTCCCCTCCTCCTTCCCCAAGGTACTGCTCACAGTGTGCTGCCATCAGGGAGGAGCCTGTGTCATGTCAAGCCTGTGACATGAGTGACAACTTCCTTCCAAACGTGGCTCCATTTGACCCTTGGATTATGTGGCCACCAAGCAGAACCAAAGCTGGATACGGCTAAAGTCATGTAGGACAAATCTGTAGTGGAGCCCCATTGAATTATTCATGTATTTAATATTTATCCACTAATCTACCCTTTATTATACCTTCTGCTAACTCTCCTGTTACAGATATCAATGGCTATGGGAAAAGCTGTGAGGAGGGCTGGCAGCAGGGAGCAGAGCCATGCAGAAGGGCTTTGGGGCTTCAGGGAAGGGAGCTGGAAGGCTATGAGGTGACCACAGGAGAGGGCCAAGGATGGAGAATGGAAACTCATCTGATCCTGCCTGGAGCATCTTTTGCAGGGACACGTGAATCTGTGTTACAATGCGTGGAGAAGGGTATTGCAAAGCCACTTTATTTATGGTACTTTTATTGGCAGGGGAGTGGGAGTGCAATACAATTTTAGCCACTGTGATGTCTCTATCTCCCTTACATTCCACCTCCATTTCTAGAGCCGTTTTTGCTCTGAATTACACAATTTCTCCAACTGCACAAAGGGACTCGCTGTACCTGGCATGGCTCAGCCTTGCTGGGTGAGGAGAGCTCCAGCAGCTGAGTGCAGGTCTCCAGCATCAGCGGCCCCGTTCCCCTCCCTCTGCAGGCAGCAGAATCCCATCCCATAAGGCAGCAATAGGGCTGCATGGCACTCAGCTCAGACATGCTTGAGCCTGGAGAAAGGCACAATTCACACCATGGTCTGCAGGGAGCACATGAGGGAACCTCCAAGAGCTACGGAGCCTGGGACCACCATGATGTCAGTTCGGTTATGCTCCAGTTCTCAGATCCAGCTCAAATCTCTCCCACCTCCCACTGGCACCATCCACCGCATCGCACAGCCCTGTATAAACAAACCCAGCGAATGCTTTTGTCTCTTCCTGTCCTTCTCAGATATTTTGGGTATTTGTGGCAATCTCTCCTGTTTATATAACAAAGCCACAGCCCAGTGTTTGTGGCACCATATCCATGGTAACCCTAATATAGCATGCACAGGCAAGTAGGATTTCATTAGGTGGCTCAGCTGTGGCAGTGTTTCTGGGGAGCAGCAGGGATGAAATGTCTTTCTGGTGCAGGGACCTGGCTGCCCACCCACATCCCAAGGGGAAATGCTGCTCTTTTTTGCTGGCTGTGGCCTCTCCCTGCTCCCACATCACCCCATCGCCGTGCCACGGTGCTCGTTGCAACTCACCCTCCTCACCTTTCATGCTGCAAAGAGCTGCAGGTGTTCACCCAAGCTGCTCAAGATCCTCCAACAGGAGCCACGAAGCTGAGGTTCATTTCTGCCTCCAGTCTGGGGAGATTCCTCCAGTGGTGCAAGAGGGAGTACGTTTGGTCCTGAGGAAAATAAAAAATTAAAAATAGAGAAAAATAGGGAAACACCTTAGGGGAAGGCAGGAAAAGTTGGGAAGAGCAGAGGCTCTGCAAAGGTGATGCTCTCATTTGCAGCCCTCATGCTGTAGGACACAGGCACCAGGAGGAGGAAATGCCTTTTCCCACCCACTGCTGATGGGTTATGGGCTCCTCTGAACATCCTGCCTCGGCCAGCACCCACGTTAGCTGTTGAGTTAAATAATGACTGTCTCTGGCAACGGTATGACACAAACCCAAGGGCAAGAGGTGGGTCTGTCCAGAGAGGGGAATCAAGCAGAAATCCGTGGGACCCTCCTCACCCCTGTGAGCATCTCTCCTATATGCCAGACCTCTCTGCCACCCCATCGGAGCCAGCCTGAGTCAGAGGCTGCTTAACCTCATCAACACCCAGGAAATCTGATCAGGGCAATGGCACAGGGCAGGATCTGGCCATGGACAGAGCCCCGGGGCACGGGATGCTGTGTGTGTGCTGCAGCCCAGCACAGCAGGAGCAGACAGCAGCCGTCCCTCTGTGCCCTCCCTCACCCTAATCGAATTTACATCCGTGTTAGCAAGGCAATGGATTATAGCTCGGAGGGGTGCTGCCTGCTTCAATCCTTAATTCAGCGCATCAGTTGTGCTTAAGCCTGCTTACCTGTAAGCAGAGCTGCTGCTGGGTTCAGACAGCACCTAGCATGGCCGAGCTGGTGTCTAAGGGACTGTCCATTAAAAAGAACCCTCTTCCAGGGGCTCAAGGCACTGTGCAGGTATCCTCTGTGCAGAACTGCTCTCTTAGTTCTTCTTGCTGGGGTAGATGGAGAAGAATAGAGGAGCTCTGTGGAGGATACAGGATACTGCCATGCTAATATCAATGCAACAGTGCTGTGTGAGTTCCAGCAAGAGCTCATCACTGGAGGAAAGCTGCTCTCTCTGTGCTCTGCTTTGAGGACAGGGGCTGAACATGCAGCCCTCCAGTATCCCTCTCACCGACTGACATGTGGGAGTTGCTCTGAGATTGCCCCAAGCAGTCTGGGTGCCGGACTCAGTAAAATGGCATTGCTACCTCTAGCTTGAGTCTTAAAATATCCCCCAGAGCAAGACACAGAAGGCTGAATCCTTGCTCTCTGTCTGGATTTACGGGCAGCAACCTGGGAGAAACTAAAGAAAGGAGATATATATATGTATTATATATACATGTTTTTCCTTCTCTTTAAGTAAATTCTCACTGCTTATCTCCAAAGTTCAGCTGTTTTCAAGCTGACCTGCCTGCCTGTTCCACTGCAAATTCCTTCTGTACAGGAAGGCTCAGGCGCTCCACTTGCCAGCAGCCTGGAGTTTCATCTCCAATAGAACTTGTTAGCTAAAGACCCCATCCCACCCCCCGCCGAGGATCATTTTTCTTCCTGCCGTGCTGACAGCTCAGCTTCTTTCCCCTTAGAATTAGGAAACAAAGCCAAGATGGGAGATGAAGCCAATGAGGCTGTGCTTGGAGGTTAGAAACGGGGCAAGGCACCGATCTGTTCTCGCAGCCAGACATCCACCCGAGGAGCCAGGGCTGGCACAAGAGGAGCATCCATCTGATGCTTTCTGCTGAGGATCTCAGAGCACAGCACGTCCAGGACTGAGTCCAGGAGCTTCAAGCACAGTGGGGATGCTGCTTCCAACTGTAGCATGCAGCTGAGCTGAGTTGAGCTGTGCCACCGGGGGGATGCAGCCCCTGGCTGCTCCTCTCCTCCTGTGTCACAGTTGTGTAA